CTGCGGCGGTGGGCGTGCTGCTCGGCCAGCGACCGGGAGGAGGGTCTGCCCGCTGGGGGGCGTGGGGACGATCGAGGGGCTGCGCGAGCGTCGCGGGAAGGGCGGCGTGGCCGTCAGGAGCCACGGGAGGGTCTGCGAGGGAAATCGAGGCTCGTGCGGGTGTCGGCAGAGGTGAGGAGCCTGCAGAGCGGTCTGCAGGAGTGAGGGGCGACTGGGGAGTTGCAGGGCCGGCATAGGTGTGCGGAGATAGTGCGAGGTCCGGGGCACCCGAGACGAGGGCAGAGGGAAGTTGTAAGGGAGAGCACAGCCAGGACGAGGGAAAGGAAAGCGGTTAGTGGGACGGACGGGTCCGAGGGAGACCTGTTCAGATCGCACCAGGGACGGAATTTCACAACCCCTACTCAGGAAGTGACATTTCCTTTGGGGGCGGGATAAGCAAGACGAGGACTCCAAGGTCTTGCTACACATATGTTCACATTACTCAATGCAAGTGCTGGAATGCAGCGGGCGCTGTTTTACGGCCGCTCCGCCCGGCCGGTGCGGGACTGTCTGTCAGGCTCCTGTTACCGTAGGCGCAGGTTATTCTAAGTTCTGAGGATGTAAATGGCACAGGGGAATTTCTTGGAGCTTCCTAATAGATCCTTAGAGTAAAACTGTAAACAGCAAAGCTTCGCAGGTGTGAGTTAGGTCTTGGATAAATGGAATAAAACAGCCGAGGGTTATATCTTTTGTCATCTGGGAAGCAGTTCTGACATCTGCCCTGTGAACACAATGACCTACTTAGCCATTCAAAGCATCTGTATCCTGATAATTAAGTTGTGACATTCTTGAGTGATTTCCTTTTGAAAAGAGGAGTTTGCTGAGCAAGATAGTATTTCGCTGCATTCCTAGAAATTTGTTTATTAGGAAAAGCACCCTGAAAAGCTGTGTGGCGTTACGGGTGCGTTTGTTGCATGACTTACAGAGCATCGCGGTCCAGGCTAGAGTTTACCCTAGCTTTCCCGATCTTCAGGGACAGAACGTGTGCCCGTTCCTGAAATGCGGGGAGTCTAGGGGCTTTGAGTATATGTGTTGCCACTGGTAGGTTGTGGACATTCGCTCCAAGTCTCAGATTGTAACATTTATTTCCATCCTATCAGTTACTGCTTTGCTACTGCTATTGTCAAGAGAAAGGAATATTTCTATGTGGTAGATAGTTTCAATTTTATCATAAAGGACTTTTCTGTAGTGGTAAGAGAGTGCGTGCAGGGGCTGGGGATTTAGCTCAGCGGCAAAGCACCTGCCTGGCAAGCGCAAGGTCGTGAGTTCGATTCCTGGTTCGGAAGAGAAACAAACAAACAAACAAAAAAAGACAGTGTGTGCAGACCAGCTTTGTGGACTTCCTATGCTTAAATATTTGCCTAGAATCAACATCTCAGAGAATGTGCCCTAGTTACTGAAAATTTTATACACGGCTTTAGAAGCAGTTGGATACACATGATACGGAGGAGTCGACGTCAGAAAGCGTAGATGACCTTCGGAAAGAAAGAAAATGATAGAAGTATGGGCAAAGGTTAGGTTTATTAAAGAAAGAGTTCCTGTGAGAGGTAAGCTTTAGCTTCTGAAATTAAGGGTGAAGATGGTTGAGTACATTTTTTGAAAAATCAGACTGCTCAGTGTAATATATATGGAGCAAAACTTGTTATTTTAAAGTGAGTTCCCACAAGTGTACAGAGGCTCCCTGGGTTTGAACACTGGCCCCTCCAACTTCTAGCTGTTTTACTTTAGGTTAGTTACTTAAATGCTTTTGGGCCTCAGTTTCCTCATTTGTAGAATGAAAACAATAATAGAATCCATCGGTCATTGTGACGATTAAACTGATTAACACGTTGAAAGCTTTTACAACAGTAATGTTCCCCAGTACGCAGGGAAACTTTCAGTGAATGTTAAATGTCAGTGTTATTTTGGGTTGTTGTGGTGGTTATTATTTTTAGAGTGTTATTACAAGCTCCAAGTCAGAATGCATATAACCTTGCTGTTTTGAGGGTTGGCTTAGTTGTTTGCTAATTACTTGAGCAAATTACTTCAATCTTTCTGAATCTTAGTTTCCTTTGTATGAATTGGGGTGAGAGAATAGTACTTAGCTGGTAAGGTTGTTGTGAGAATTAAATAAAATAATATATGTTAAGTTAAGCTGAAAAAAAGGTGATGGTGATGATGATGATGATGGCGGTAATGCAGATGATGCTAGAGATGTGAGTGAGGGGACAAGGAAACACCGGGAATCGCTCATCAGTACGGTCCTAGGCTGACTTGTGCTGTGGGAAGAGAAAGGACAGAGCACGTCTTCATTTTTGAGAATCCATTGCCTGAACCTGGTAATGGCCACACACAGGGAGAAGGAAGAGCAGGCTAAAAACGACCTGAATTTGGAAGGCTGTAGCCCGAGAATAGTAGCAGTACAGAAGGGGACTTGGAAGAATAACTTTCTTCAAACATAAGGCATGTGCTTCTGTGTCATACTACGTTTTAGAAGGCTGCAGTCTCTTTCGGAGTCCGTCTCAGGGCTAGTTAGAGAATGGATTCTGATCTAGAATGCGGAGCTCCTTTCGGCCTTTACTGTTTGCTCTCATAGGTGGTGCTAGTGTTGTATTTCTGATCACACAGGAGAGAAGTGTTCTCCAGAATTAACACCGTGTTAAATCTTTGGAAGGAAAAAAATTAAGAGAACATTAAAGAGGGGAAATAGCCGAGTCTGCAGTTTATTTACAGTAATTAGCATAAGGGGCTGTTGTTCAGATAACGCTTGCCCTTTCTGTGTATTTTGGGAGCGTAGGGGAAGGAGTACGCTAAGTGGCCCTGTGTTTTCAAGTTAGAAAAAGAATAGCCTTTGCGTTCTTTGTAACAGCACAGGCGTTCGGAAGGCAGGGAGACAGGTGCGAATGTGGGTACAGGGAGCAGTCCAGGCAGTGTGATCAGTTTCCAGGAAACTGAGTTACAGAGATTTATTCCTGAAAGTAACGTAAGTTAACTAGTCAGACCCAGGTTCTTCTCTTCCTTTCCAAGGCTGCCATTTGGCTCCGGCTTCACTTTACTGCCAAGTTTTCAGTCTGACATAAACTCCTACTTCTCATCTGTTAAGTAGTTTTCTTCCAAGAGTATTTTGTTTCATTAATCATGGTCATCAGCTATATGTCGATTCGTGAATGAGGGCTAAAGTAGTCAAGAGGAACCAACTTAGTTATCCAGATGAAATGCAGGACTCTTTGTTAAACAACTGGAGAAAGATGTGCGTTTTGTTTTGTTTTGTATTGATGACAGATACTCTCCAAAGAATTTTGCCTTGCAAATTTGGGAGAAAAAAGGCAGATTCTGTGTATTGGGGTTGTGTGTGTATGTTGGGGGGTGGTATTCTTTCGAGAGGCTTTATATACTAAAGCCAGTATGTTTTGAGAGCTAAATTAACGTGAAGTGAGAAAAATCCATCTCTTCTCCACAGCTCTGGGGAAAAGGTTCATAATAAAAACTGAAAATTGCAGTTCCATTATTCTTGCCATGAATTTTTTTTTTCCCCCAGGACCGGGAATCGAACTCACGACCTTGAGCTTGCCAGGCAGGTGCTGTGCCGCTGAGCTAAATCCCCAGCCCTCTTGCCGTGAATTGTCATAGCGCTCTTTGCGTGTGATTCTTACTAGCAATCTCCCAGGAGCCAGATGCTCGCGAGCAGGTGTCCTTTGTACCATGGAGGGTTGGATTAGAGCCGCTCCTTTTCCTCTTGGTGTAAAGACCATGTGCACTGAAACACCAGTGACCCCAGAGAACTCATTCGTGGAGCAGCTCAGATTGTGGGGCCAAAGTGCCATTCTCTTTGAGAGTATGGCATATGTTAGAGGCAGATAAGTTACACCGTTCATTTCCTTCACAACCATGAACAAGTGTTTTTGGTATCCATTTCTTGAGAATTACGCTAAAAAAGAGAATTGTCTTAATGTGTAGAAGTGAGAACAGTCTAGCTGGTGACACGTACAGTTAATGTGGTATTTTTTTTGTTCACAAAAGCTTTTAAGGGGCTGAAGATTTAGCTCAGCAGCACAGCACTTGCCTGGCAAGCACGAGGTCGTGAGTTCGATTCCCGGTACCGGAAAAAAAACAAAAAAGCTTTTAAATGATGGTACATCTTAGAGTCAGTGCATCACAGAATAAAGGATATATTTACATGGAATCCATGCATATGATTCATCCACATTCTGTTGGAATCTGCTCTGTGTCTGCGTGTGTCGGCTGTACAAGCCATGTCACTCCCTGGTCTCCTGGTTTTGAAAGTGAAGTTACTTCTGCGCTTGTTGCGGTGTTCTGCAGGACATGGTCGGATGCTCATGGCTGGTAATTCTGGGAGTGGAGGCCGATGTCGTTGCTGTCCTGACTGTTCTTCTCTCGTTGCAGTGCACGAAGGCAGCCCTCTGGGTGAGCTCCATCGCTGTATCCGTGAGGGGGTGAAGGTGAACGTTCACATCCGCACTTTCAAGGGACTTCGGGGCGTCTGTACCGGCTTCCTCGTAGCATTTGACAAGTTCTGGAATATGGTAAATAATCTTTCTTGAGGGGGATGGAGAATCTACTAAAGATTAAATATTTTATATGTCTAAAAGATCTGCATAGCCTTATTAAGCAAAACTATAAAATAAAATAACTTCTCAGAGCTAAAATCTTCATATACTCTTAGACAATAAAAACAAAAATGATTTTTTTTGCTTCCTTTGTTTTTATTGCTGCCTCCCTTAAGGCAGTATAATTTGCTCTTCTCTCCCTCCCAGAGACATTTGGCAATGTCTAGGGATTTTTTTTGATTGTCACACCTGTGGGACAGGAAGCTGCTGCTATCTAATGGGTAGAGGCCAGGGATGCTGCCAGATCCTACAGTGTACAAGACAGCCCCCGAGCAAAGAATTATCCCCCAGCCCAAAACGCCATTAGTGCCAAGGTCGGGAAACCCAGCCTAAAAGAATAATTTTCCAGTTTAGTAATTTTAAATGCATTTCCTGCTAACCATTCTTTTACTCATTTGAAAATATTTGTTGGCTTCCCGCTTTGGCTGGACCTGGTGGTATGTACAGTATTTGGAAAGATAGAAGTGACACAGACATCACTAAGCAAAACACTTGCGGGACATTCCTTTCCAAAAGAGTGGCTACACGCGCCCAGCATTATAGAAACTTTCTGTCTCACTAGACCTTAGTAGGAGGGAAGGAGTATGTGATAGCACAACTGTAATATCAGATAGTTAACAGAACTACCAGGATTTCTAGTGGTTTTTTTCCATCTCCGACTTTCCTTTTCCCTGGGCTGTATCCCATCTGTTAATTCTCATGGACAGTAATATTGGGTACTAACACTCATTTATGACTTGCTGTGTGCCCGTACTGTACTATGGGTTTTATGTGTGATCTTCATGAGTGAATTATAGGTCCTGTTACTATCCCACCTCACAAATGAAGAGACTGAGTTCAGAGAAACTAAAAGATTGGTCCCAGGTCACAGGGCTGTTAAGCAGAAGTACCAGCCTTTACCCTGAGTCTTTATCTGAGACGTTAGCCCTGAGCTCAGCCATCTCATTCGAGGAGAAAATACTGTCTTACTTTAATTTTACCTGTGCGAGGCAAGGATTTCACAGAATGTACTCGTTGATAATGATGATAGTATTATCAGCTTTTATCTGTAGGGTGACTTACCTTTTTCAGAGTAATTTATATCATATAATCTCATTTGTCCCTAGCAGTTGTCCTGTGAGGTTGAGCTCAGTGGTGAGAGCTTACCAGTAATTCTGCCTGTAACTCTGGTTCATCTTTGTTAACAACAGTTGTAAGACATAGCACCTGAGGAGGGTGAAAAAGCCGTAGTATTTCTCAAAGCGTGGTCTAAAGCTGTCCTGCATCATGATCCCCTGGGGTTTCTGGCTTAAACAAAAGGCTTTTGGGGCTTCATTTCAGTCCTATTGAATGAGAGCCTCTAGGGAGCCTTGGATTTGTATTTTAATAAGCTTCCTGGATATTTATGTACACTGAAGTTTAAGTACCATGCAGTGACAAAGACTCTTACCATGCATGGGAGAAGCTCATTTTGTGATAGCAGTTTGGAAACCCTAAGCAGAAGGTGCCGAGTATTGCTATTTTCTTCTGTCCAAGTTCTGTTCATTTACCTGTTTAGTTCTGCTCCATTTAGAGATTATTCTGCCTTTTCCTCCAAAGTTTTAAAAATACTACTGTTAATTCTGCTTCCTCTTTTTCCATTTGGGCTGTTCCTCTAGGCACTTACTGATGTGGATGAGACCTACAGAAAACCTGTTCTAGGCAAAGCGTATGAACGGGACTCTTCGCTGACTCTCACGAGGGTAGGCATCCCCCCACCCGCTTTCCAGCTTAGGAATTAAGACCACCGACCCCAGTGACCAGGATGTCCTAGAAGGAAACCCCGCCCACAAACCACGTCTCCTGTCAGGCTGCCAGCTCATCTCAGATGCCTCTGGGCTTCTAACCTGAATCTCTGAATAACAAGTTACCTCTTGCATAAGATTTGGAAGTCTTTCAGCTTTATATCAGAGAAATAAGTAGGTGCCTTTTCCCTTGACATACTTACTGATCTATCTGCGTTAGGGCTAGAAATAGAAAAGTTATTGCTAACTTGTTAAAAATTGAGATGCACAGAGTCCAAAGAGCATAATTAAGAAATCTGTTTCTTTCTCTGTGTAGAAAGGGGATGTGGAAGGGTGAAGAAAAAGCCAATATTTTCATTGCTTTCCTTGTAGCTGTTTGATCGGCTGAAACTGCAAGATTCCTCCAAGAAGGAAGCAGATTCCAAGTCTGCAGTTGAAGACTCCACTCTGTCCAGATACTCGCAGACATCTACTTGGAAGGTGGCCTCGGTGTGGGGGAGAGGAGACACCGACCGGAGCTCCCGCAGGCGCTCCCGCTCCGTTCCGTCTTCCTTACAGGCGTCCGCTAGGGAGGAGTCCAGGTCCGAGCTGTCAGGGAGGACTACAAGGACAGAAGGGTCCAGTGTGGGAGGTACGGTTTCCAGGGCCACCACCCTTTCCCGGGGCCAGTCCCGTAAGAAAAAGCGAAAGCCCAAGGTGGATTACCAGCAGGTATTCACTCGACATATAAATCAGATTTTCATTCGAGGTGAGAACGTCCTGCTGGTTCATCTTGCACAGTAACCAGCTCAGCCTCATGTGAGCTTTGGTTTTTAGAAATAAAATGCATGAGTTACTACTATGCTGTATCCTAGTGTCCCAACAAAACGTGAGTTGGAATGATTCCCTCTGGTCCGGCGCATGCAGAGGACAGAGCAGGCTCGACCCTCTGGAAGGTGAGCTCAAGGAGAGGACAGGCCTTGGGAAGGTGGGCGTTCGAGTTAATGTCAAGGGAGAAGCCACGCGTAGGTGCGGCATGCATCTGCTGGGGTGCCATGGTCTGCTTCAGTCACACAAGCCAAATACGTAAGATTTTGTACTTGACTTAGGGATCACAGTGTGAGTGGAATTCACTCTTTAATGACTATAGAGAAAAACTATCTCAAAAGAATAATCTCGTTTTGAAAAGCTAGTGCCCCGCACACTCATGAATTTGATTCTAAGAGTAGCAGTGCAAATGGCCCTGGATCCCTGCACGCACATCTTGTAACTGACCTTTGAATCTTGCTCAACACCATTCTCTCTTGATGAAGCAGTGAAATTTATTTTGAATATCTATAAGGTCTGGGAGAGTTACCAACTTACACAGGGGCAAAATTTAGGTGGGGCTGTGCTCCAAGTAGCCAGGGATCAGCGCTCTGCCTCGACCACTCTCCTGCTGTGGAGGGAAACACGGGACCTCTTCAGTCTTCCCTCCCCAGAGGTAGCCTCTGCAGGTGACGCACCAGACGAGACTGTAACTTGCTAGTGTGGTGGCTCCTTGTCCTTCGTGCTGACTTCTGCGGCATGGTGCTAGTGCATGTCCCCGGTGGTATTGCCCCTCTGTATATAATGTAAACTGTCCTGTGAGCTTCCTGGCAGGAGACTGTGACCTTCAGGTCTAGCTTCAAAGAGTTTGGCGTGAACTCAGTAATATACCTGCGTCACACGGCTGAGAGTGCCCTTCCCACGCGGGGCTGGCCTCGCGTAGAAGCTCTCTCAGCATGGTGGTGGCTCCATTCCCTTGAGTCAGTGCTTACAGAGACATTTTCCTCGCAGCCTGGCTTGAGTAACGGGAGCGCCGTGGAACCCAGAGCTGCTCCTACTGAAATCATACTGTTACATGGATTTTGAATCGCCAGTGCAGAATAGGCTGCATTTTGACACAGACTGTTAGGCAATATGACTTTTTGTTTTGTTTATGTTGTTATAGCTTGGGTAACTTACATTCAGAGTGAGAAGAAATAGCTAGCTAGTTAAAATGTATGAAAAAGAGAAATTTCCCCTGTTCTATTTGTTGTTTAGTTTGAATGAGTCTTCTGAGACACAAGGTAAATAAGGGTTAGGGAGCTGGACTGCCTCGTTCTTCTAGCTCAACTACCGCTGGCTCATTAGACAATTAAAGGTGAGCAGGTTTAACCCCTCTGTGCCTCAGTTTCCCCTGTCAGACACCTACCTCACTAGAGCATTGTGACAAAGAATTTTCGGAAGGCATTTTACAGCCTCTAAACATGTTTAAGTGCCATGAGTAGTTTTTACTCAGTTTCACAGCTCTGTAAGAATTCTACATCTTATGAGCAGGGCAGGTGCTATATAAGAAAGAAGTGTTCCTAGGTGTCATATTAGGATCTAGTAACTATCATCCGAAGGCAATGGAAACTTTAGGAACTAGTTTCCGGATCCCCTCCCTCCACCGGAGGGACTGGAAGTTTTCAGAACATCTTCAGGAAGAGGAGAATGGCATTTTGGTTCCTTTTGCTGCTCTCCCCACATCCCAGCCCCAATGTTTTTCTTATAATCATCACAAATATTTATATAATGCCAAAGGGAGAATGAGTATCTAAAAATGGCACATCCCCAAAGGGGAATCTATGGAAGTCTTTATTTATTTATTGCTAGTTTGTTTTTATTTGTAGATGTATTTGAAAGTACACTTTAGAGCCAGATTAGATGCACTAAAGTATTTAAGAGATTCCAGGTTACAAACTCAAGACCACAGTTATCTTTGCAGTCTGCCATAAACTCTCTTTTCACTAGTGTGTCCAGCAATCAATTCCCAGGTTAATAGTGTCTTATTTAATCATTGGGCAATGCTGCCTGCATCTCTTTGCCAGTTGCCCCTGCCAGCCTCATGTCTGCCTTCTTGTCCCTCAATTAGAAGCTGTAATAGGTACTCTGTTTTCCCAATAATGTAGAAATTTGGAATAAAAAAAATATAATTTCCATCTCATTCCATTGCCTTATTAAATCTACACTGATTTGTTTTAAACACATATAAGTTTTTATGTTTATGTAGAACTTCCATATATTCACATAAAGATTGAATTATAATTTTCTCCCCAACATGACATGAAAAATATTTTGAACTGTGTACTGTCTTATGAGCTGTATTGCTCCCTATTTATTTGTGTGGTTCAAGCAATGCTCCTAGAATGAATATTACTTAGTATGTGTACTATTTTGTACAAAGTATGATAATTATATTTAGAGAAGTTTATTTTTTAAAATTGCTGCGTTTTCTTTGTTATTGGAAAATTTTTCAAAAATAAGGAAAAAAAATAGGCCCGAATAATGTATTGCTGCTGAAAAGTTGTAACCATCTAGTCCATTATAATAAATTGCCAGGGTGACCAAGGCGGTAGCTCTGTGGTAGGGCACATGCTTAGCATGCGTGAGGCCTTGAGTTCAGTCCCCAGCACAGTAATTGATTGATTGTAAATTGCTACAGAAATAAGTGACATCTTCCCAGGAAAAGGGCAGAAGAGGGAACCAGTGGTAGAGAATCAGAACCCTTGACCCCCACCTCTAAATAACCTGAGGGTCCCACACCGCTGAATGCCAAAAGCTGGCCTCCAGGCATTAAGGTTGGGAAACTTGTTACGAACAGTATCTATTTTGGAACATCCAACTTGGCTCTTTAAAGAAGTGTCTAGACAAAGAACCATGTTTTCAGGAAAATTCATAGGACGGACCTGTGCACTTGGTGTTCTTCTTTGGCACGTCCAGCTTTGTTAGACGATAGCAGGTAATTAAGCAGTGGGACACAGGGTTTCGTGCCCAGAGCGCGTCAAGTGCCATTCTTCCTACGTAGAAGTGGTTCTTCTGTTCTACCCTCAGCAGAACGTGTACGTAGGTTGTTTGATTCAGCGTCTGGGAAATGTTCGTGCTTCCTTTCTGGGATCACGTCACGACCAGAAGCAGGCTCGTTATGAAATAGCCAGAGTTAGCAGCGTCTGAGGCGGGTGGCTTTGGGCCAGTGGGCATCTTGCTCTCTGTTCGTGATGTGTGTCAGGTCCGAAAGCCTGGAGAACATCAGCATTAAATCCAGGAGCACAGAAATCCTCACTGTGAGCTGTTGGTGGATGAGGAGCAGTCCCGTAGGGCCTTGTGAGAGAGTACAGGAGTACCTGTAGAGACTGTCAGGTCGAAGTATGCACTGCTCTTCATTCTCATAAGCCTCACAGAAATCTGTGTGTACCACTTTTCCCCTTAAGGAAAAAAAAAACAAGGGCAAGGGGACCAAGACGTGTAGGGAAAAGCTTCGGGGGAGGGGAAGTAAAAAGAAGACGTGTTATGTACGTGGAGCAACTCCCCATGACGGATGTAGTCATGTACTGCAAAAATGTCCCGATAAAAATTGAAAAGAGAAATAGAAACCTGACTTGATACAAAATGGATATCTGAGTATCTGAATGTACTATTTCCATAGCAGCCAACACGGACAAAGCTGTGAAATAGAGTTGGTTCTGTAAATTGCTTCTTTAAATTTTCTCTGAATTTTGCCTTTAGGAAAAAAAATTGAAAATTATTCTAAGACAGCTAGCTGTCACCGGTGCTGCCCCGAAGCTTTCCGTTCTTTCGTGTATTTTTCATGAATGAAGTGATTGCTGTGGGAAGGTCAAAGTTCACGGAGAAGAGTTTCACGGTATAAATATCATAGTTTTGCAGTTGTTTTAACTTCTTTTTCTGTACCTACCACATAGAGAATGCAGGCAGCCCCATTTTAGTAGCTTATGTTCACCAGTCTGTGTCTTTCTTTTCCCCAAAGGCTTTTCTTAGAGCTTATAAACCAGAGACATCTTATGTGGGCTTGTGTTCAAAGGTACGCAGTCAGTGCTTTCTGGCAAATTCAGTTGATGTGTTTAAGATATGCCTTCGGGGTTCCTAACACGATTTTCTGGGCTCTGAAGAAGGGTTGGGCCTCTTTTACCCTTACTGTTCTGAGTGTCTTTCAAATGTTTGTAAGTTCCCTCGCACTCTTCTAATTAAAATGAAAGCTGTCAAGGATGGGCTTCGATGGTTCAAAGATCTAGGGAAAGAAACATAACACCTGAGATCTTCAGTTGGTCTTTTATTTATTTAGAAAAAAAAATAGTTTGATAAGCTACCAGAGTTAGTGCTCCTTTAAAAACATTCTCTGAAAAGATGGGAACTGTCCCTTAGGAAAGCTATAGAAGCGATTCCCAGTACGTTGTGGTTGCTTTTGATTTTAGTTTTCTGCAGCAAATGTCTGATGTTACATTTTTAGAACTGTGAAAAAAAGTCTGAAAATTTTTTTCAGGGATATTATTTAAACTATGATTATCTGGCTGAATTACGTGAGCTAGGTTCTAGGGCAGCTATTCACTTCTTTCTCTGTGGTCCTGACAGTTAAACAGATAGCCATGTCTTTAAAAGTCATTTGCTTACTCTGTACTGACATCTAAAGACATCAGCCTTCTATTTGGCAACACTGACTTACTGATTTTTTTTAGACAAGCCTAATGCTGGATTACTCTGTATTTATAGTTTCAGTATTCATATTCCAGCCGCTAGAAGAAAAATCATGACTGTAATCTCATTTTTTATATTACTCCTAAGTGTTAGGTGAACCAAAACCTTTTCTCTTTGGGGAGAATTGCTGCTAGTTACCTTAGTTTGCCATGTTCTGCTTGTGTCATATGAAGGTCTGAAACTGTAATAAATATGACTGTGTTACTGTACTGAGCGCTTTGTCACTGGTGATTTAGGGGACAGCTGGGAGGAATCTTACCAGGAGATACCCACCTGGAAAGTGAAAATACCGGAAGCCTGCTGCAGGCTTATTATTGTGACCTTGTGCCTTCGTGAGCCAAAGCACATACATCTATATCACCATCCTCAAGGAAGGATTTTCCCCAGAAGTTTATGTTTAGAAAAGGAGTTTTGCCATGTTATTAATTTTCCCTCCCAAGCACTACCCAATAGCAATTGCCCTATAAATCTATTCTACTTGTTCACTCATTGGCATTAATCCATTCTCTCCACAGTCTGCGAAAGTCACCATCTGCTTTGCTTTCTGAGTGTTTTGCCACGTTTCCCTAATTGATCATCACCTGCTTCTAGAAATATGTGAATTTGCCACCACTTTTCCTCTGTCTGTACAGGAAGCTGAGCTGCCACAAATGATTCCTTCATCTCTTTTGTGTGCTTCCAAAACTAAATCACCATTACCTAGTAAAGAAAACAAAACTCACATCAATTCTGAAGGGGTTAAACTCAAGTTAATTGTTGAGACACAATTCCCCCTTTAAAAGATGCTACTGTATTAACTTGGACTGAGCCGACCTACAAGGCTCTTGGTCTGGTCCTTGCTTGTTTGTTTTCTGTCACACAGTTTGGGTTAAAGGAAAATGTCCTCACTGATTAAAATATGGGCACAAGAGCCCCATAGCTTGGCAATTAAAATATATAGTAATAGTTAAATGTTGGCAACGGAGTGCTTCCTGGATAGGATTGGAAGGAACAAAACATCCCTAGCTAACCATAGTCCCTCCTTAGATATAATCAAGTGTTTTTAATCTGGTCAGTTACCACTAGGTGGCAGTGAGTTAAAGAAAACTGCTTAACTGGAAGTCCCAGAAGGCCCCGAGTCTCCCTGTCTAGTCTCTGCAATGATTCATCCTTAGATGCCCCCAGCCCGGACTGAAATGTTCTAGGAGAAACAAGCCTTAATCCACCCAACTGGAAAAATAAACTTTTTTTTAACCAGTCTTGAATTTACCTAATTTGAAGGTCAGCACTGATGACTTGTAGGTAATGAATGTACATTACTTACAAACGAGTGGCGAAGAGAAAGGTTTCCCACTGCCCACTGTTTTAGGAAATGTCTTGCTTTTCTCCTATCGGAGGACCCCTGCTTTGTTCTCAGAAGACCATCACTGGCCCCTTCCCACCTGCTGCCAAGGGATTGCCTTCAGAAACTGTCTGGAAGCCCCTGTTTTTCAGCGCTGTATCTCTTTGAGAGGATTCAGTCCATCTACTGCTGATTCACAAAAGGCCATGTGTGAAAAGGTTGCACCTCTCTTACCAGTGTTTTTGTTTTTTCTGTTTTTTGGGGTTTTTTTTTTGTTTTTTTTCCGGTACCGGGGATCGAACTCACAACCTTGCGCTTACTGGGCAGGCGCTGTGCCGCTGAGCTAAATCCCTAGCCCCAGCACCTCTCTTACGATTCTGACTACAACTGAGTCTCCACTCCAAGACTGCAAGCAAATATGCTCGAGTCCAGGAAATTTTGTACTAAATAGAAAAATAGTCGTTTTCAGTTGGAGCAGTGGATAGAGGGAGGGACAGTGTTTGTCTGTCTCCTAGTACATCGTGACAAGGTCTTAAGAGGACCTTACCCTCCACACCTCATTTTCCAGCAGCCACTGGTAAAGAGGAATGCAGTATGTGAACTAACTGGTCTTCAAAGGAATTAACTAAAAATAAATTATAATTGTGTTAGCGTTCCATCACTATAATGAAATGCCTGAGATAATCAACTTAGAAAAGGTGTACTTGGCTCACAGTGTTGGAAGGTGTAGTACGTAATCAGTTGGCCCCACTGTTTTATGGCTGTGGCAAGGCAGCACATGGCCGGAGCACATGGCAGAGAAAACCATTCACCTCATGGTGGGGAAGCAAAAGAGAAAAAGGAAATGGCTAGAGTCCTACAAGGATGCCTCTGAGGGTCCACTCCCATAACCCAAAGACCTCTCACTGGGCCCTACCTCTTAACTGCCACACCACCACCTGAAAGTGCCAGCCTGCAGAACCACCCTTTTCCACATGGGTCGTTGGGAGATACTCAACACCCAGACTATCAGTGACAAAGAGCTTTGTCTTAACGCCTTTTTGCTTCTTGGTAACTTATACCATATTTCACTCAACCAACTTCGTAAAGGGGCAGAAGACAGATCATGCAGTAAGAAACTGCCATTCAAGCACATCAGCTTTGTGCTGAGCATATTACATGCATTTTTTTGTTCAGATGCGGCCACCATGTCTGAGTTGCTTTCTCATCCTGGGACAATACCCAACACCCACAATTTGAGGGAGGAGAGCTTTATTTTCATTCACAGTTTTTAGAGGCTTCAGTCTGTAGCTGGCTCCAAGATGGGAAGGTATAGCAGACAGGCCTGGCTGGAGGAAAATGCTCATGCCATGGCCATCAAGAAGCAGAAAGTAGGGGCTGGGGATTTAGCTCAGCGGCACAGTGCCTGCCCAGCAAGCGCAAGGTCGTGAGTTTGATTCCCGGTATGGGAGAAAAACCAAAAAAAAAAAAAACAAACAAAACAAAACAAGCAGAAAGTGAAGGGAGGAGCTGGGAAGAGAGAAAAACCTGTCCAGGCCACACCCTCAGTGGCCTGCCTCTTCTATGCAGACCCCACCTCCTAGCAGCAAGTCAGTTACGTCGCCTTCCAAAGGCCCTGCCTATGAGCACATGAGGCCTTTGGGGGCCATCTAGATATGAACCCTACCACACCATGAGAAGAAGATCATACCTTCATCACAAATGTGAGTGAACTGAAACTCAGGGAGGACCAGTAACTTGCCAACATCTCTCTGCTACAAAGGGTAACTCTGGGGTTCTGTCTAGATCTCTCCGGTTCTTTAGCTTGTTGGTAGTCAGTTGTATCTGCAGAGTGTTACAGTTCTCAGGCATTAACCAAGAAACTTAGGGTAAGCCACGTCATCTCTCAGCCTAATCAGAAACCAAAGGGCTGGGTTAAAATAGGGCTTGGTTTACCTGGTGTGCTGGTGCCTGCTGCTTCACCCTGTGCTTTGGCCAGGAGCGGACATACAAACAGCTCCATGACTTGAGAAGTCGCACCCCCAGGGGCCCTGGGAACAGTAGCTGTCAAGTGAATACTGGGTGGTAGTTTACCCATGAGTTTATGTGGCCCTGGAAAGAATACTGATTCTTCAAAATGTGGAATAAACGGGTCATTACCAGCTCTTCAGGATAGAACAAGAAAGTCCACCGTCCCCTTTCCAGGATTCCCAGTGCTTGAGAAGGGTGTTTTCTCTTGCCTTTGACTATGAATTTTTCTAATCAAAGTCTTCTCCAGGCTAAACTGGGGGTGCTAAAGCCACAGAAAAGTAAAGACTATTTGAAGGCCTATAGTCTTTCTCCGAAGACAAAAGGGAGCACAGACAGAAAGGTTCAGCACACTACCTGCCCGTCTTGTGAAACTGTCCTTCACCTTGATGGTGCATTAATTTTCAGGATGTGGTGATCCTGGGAGACCCTCGGCTTTCACTGAGCACTTCCAAGCTTGGTTTCCTCCTCTCTCACACAGAGATAACACCACCTGCCTCCTGGGGTTGTGGATGTAATGCACGGGGCCCACACACACAGCACGTGCTTAGACATTTATCCCTGATACTTGATGATCAGCCGCTTTGTTAACTTCCCTGTGCTTTTGTTCCGAGTCCTGAGACCAAGCTCCACCATAACAACAAAAAATGGACAGAGCTGCTGTTGTTTTCCTCCTTTTTCCCAGTACACAAGTGTTTGAAAGATTGATTCTCAGCTCCCCAAGTTGTCCTTGTTTCCTCAATTGGTTCTCCCTGCGTTAAAACTTCAGAAAATCACCTTCGCTTCTGGGAGAGCTGCGTGCTGCCCCAGGAACAGCATTAGGCTCCATGGGACATTCGTTAGCTGGGGTTACAAGAGGGCCACAGGGCACTGGAATGGTAATTTCCTACAAGGGATCCCAGCGACCCTGAGCGAGCTAGCTCAGCTGATCCGAGCGTGTGGCTAATGAGGGACGGCTGGCAGTTTCACTCCTGCATGGGCCAATTAGTGTCACGTGGGAAGCCCACGCCGAGGCACCAGGCAGCAGCCTTCACACGTCTGACACTGGCCGCCAGGTTGGTTCGGTAACGCAGCTCTCGTCACTGTCAGAAAGCAACCCAAAGCCCACGTCTTCTTTCTCATGATTACGTGGCTTGTTTCCAAATCTAGGGTCGTTTATAGACCATCTTCACCATCTTTTTCTTCTTCTAAGCTGGCCACTGTATTTTTATTTGTTCAATATTTTTTCTGTACATTGACTCACTTCAAAGGAAAATTGGGAAATTAACCATAAATTAAAGTATATATTAGTATATATATAACAATTGATATTAAAGTTTGTCTTCTTGACACCTACAAATAGCCCCTGTGCCTCAGTGATCAAGGGAGTGGGTGTGTTGCACACGTAGAATCCCCATGTGTTGGTTTTATGATGTACACACACTGCTCAATAATAAAATGGTCACACTGCCAAAAACAATATAAAAAAATCACTTTAGGGGCTGGGGATTTAGCTCAGCGGCACAGCACCTGCCTGGCAAGTGTGAGGTCGTGAGTTTGATTCCTGGTACCGGAAACCTCCCTCCCCCTTCAAAAAAAGAATCACTTTATTTGGAAAAGTCAGGATCAGTGACCAGAAAGTTTCACACTAGAAGCAGTGAAATTATTTTTCACTCAGAAACTTCAATCCTAAGAGCCCTTCTGATAGCCATAAAGGATAGCTATAAAATCTAAGCTCTGGACAAACCCAGGGTTTGATTTGCCTTTTGCTCAGGGGTACAGGATTTTGTTCACACTCTACTCACACTACCTTTAACAGTACTCCTTACATACCCTCATCACCTTCATATGATTCACAAAAAGCACAAAACACAGAGTGGGTGTGTTAGATGCGTTCCTGTC